CAGGCGAGGGATGGCGGACCGGGAGTGACCGCGTAGTAGTTGCATCGGCTAGCGTGGGAACACGACGGCAATGTTGATGATAGATCATTTCAGGACCATGCCTGTCAGCCTGAAGCAGCGCGGAGTGCAGCATGCGAGGTGATGAGATGCCACGTTCCACTCGTTGATCTTGGGTCCATCTTGAGCATCTAGTCAGGGGGTGTTTACCACGAACTTGGGTGATGACCCTGCCTAGTGATGACCCTGCCATGGGACGGTCATCAGTCCCCATCTGGCCACAGCATGCGCGCTCCGCAGGTACTGTAGATGGCAAGGCACTACGTGATACGTGAACGAGACAAGGGGGGGCAACCGCGCCGGCGAACCTGCGACTGTTTCGGCGCCGGTACGCCGGTCGCGCGCTCCGGGTATCACCACGTGCGCCAATGGCTGCGGATACTGTACTCTCACCGGAGCGCCGAGAGGTGCGATTTGCCGAACGGCGTGGCAGACGCGGCAGACGCGCGGGAGGCGTGGCCTTTGCCGAGTCGGGCGCTGTCGCGGATCCCTGGCCGTTGAGCCGGCTGCGAGTCAGTCGGACGTCTGGGCAGAGAGGGTTGTCTGTACGTAGTGCGGCAGCTCTCGTCGAATCTGTTTGAGTTTCCATCACGTTGCGGCGCGGGGTCGGGCACGACCATGTCTGGCCGAAGCTTGATGGGAGAAAATCGGCAAAGACTGCTGGCCGACGACAGTGGCTACCTGGAGTGTAGTCCGCAGGCTATTGCCGAGTAGTGGAGCAGCGATCCCAGTCTCATCTACTCACGTTTTTGAAGAGTCAAGGCATCGAGGGAAGAAGGGCGAGTCTCCATGTCTCGCTCTCTCTAGCTGCACAGTACCTCGCCTGCTCGCTCGGCTCTGAACGACGAACGAAAGATCGGGGCCCCCGGTTTCGCTGCGGGACGGGAGAAAGCACGCCGAGGCTAAGGCATCGCAAAACTACGTAGATCACAAGCAGGAGTCGACAGGACAAAGAAGAAACTCCACCGCGAAAATTGACGACAAGACGAACGCCGCTTACCCGTCACTTTGTCTTGGC